GTAAAATACCAAGTAAAGAATCACATGAATGCCACTGTAGTTATCTCTCATCCTGGCTCCTGTAGAGACATCAACAGGCTATTCAGTGCTCTTTGATCTATGTTTTCCTTTGTGTTAGCTTTTTCCCTCAGCACCAATGATTTTTCAGGCACTTGTTAAATATCCGCACATCATTGGAGACAAAAATGTAAAGTTTGATTTACAGTTCCATAGATTTTGTTCGCTTGTCAGAAAGCGTAGTTTCATAGTTATATCCAGAGTGCTACACTACTATATTTTTTAAAAATATGTATTTTAATAGCTCTTCTGCATCTTGCTAACATCCTAAGGGCTTGTTAAAACTGATAGAACTTTTAAACTCTGATTTCCACTCCATTATTGCTATATCTTTCCTTTTTTGCTCATGCAGCGAAAACCAATTTGGTTAGTTCTCTGATCTTGTCTCCATCCCTCATGACAATTTGTTCAATTTATAGTAACTTTCATTTTCTGGTTCTCATGTGCTACTCCGATCTGAGACATTTAAGTTGGGAACACATCAGGGTAAAGTTGAAATTGCAGGATATGTATAAATTTGTGGGACTATTTCTCCTATTTATAGGCTTAGCAATACATTTATTGTGGATCTAAATGGGCAACCTAAATTACTGGTTGTTGTCTCATATCTACTCATGTTTAAAATTAGGTGTATGTAGGCATGTCTCTTACTTTAGGGTTTAAATTCTGTAGCATGCAGAGATGCTCTAGAACTATATGGGACTCTGGAATTCCTTATGTTAATGCACGTTCCTTATTCTCTGGAGATATTAATGTTCCAAACGAGTAATTCAAAGCTTGCCTGGAGAGGTTCAGTGTTGACGTACCTTGATGTTTTAGCCATCTGTAGTAGAAACTGGTTTGTCTCTGCTCTGAAATTAACTTTTATGCCACAGAAGCTGGCTTCTGGAATACTTTACACCCAACCCAGCATGTATTAAGTGCAAAATTTGCTTTCTGATGTCAACCTTCATCTTTCATGTTGTGAAAGAATGTACAGTTTTTGCAGCATTTCAGCCTAAAGGGCAAGTGCTTGTTACAAACTTTAATTCAAGCCATACAGTTTATTGTCATAACAGATTATCTTCAACTCTCAAAATCATCAGGGCAAACTCAATATCACTTTTCCCATGTTAGACAAATCAGCTGGACAAATCTCTTTAAAACATTTACCTTCAGAGCTTCTTTGGCAAGCTAGCCAGGAGTATTTTCCTATTGTGCCAATTTTATATTAGCTTGTTCCTCAGTGATACTGATGCACTTGTTCAATGACACTGTTCACAGAAAGGTTATGAAACTTTTTTCAGCCCCCAAAGCATTGTGAGGTTTTCCTGTTTTTGGGTGTTTGTTTTTTTTCAGTTCTTCTAGAATATAGATCACATAAATATTACACATACTAAGTAGTATTTTTCCATATTAGAAACATTAGGCTCTTACTAATATTCAAAACACTTGATATAATGATCAGCAAGAATCTGATAATCTCCAGTTTAAGTTGCAGTGGGACAGCTGTAGAGATACTGTACAGCTGTTTGTGCTTAGCTGCTTTGGTTTCTGCTGACAGGGAGGAAGGAAGGAAAAGCTGCCACCCAATGCAAAGTTGGTTTCAGTTGACTGATATCTCATCTATCAGTTCTCCAGCTCAAGCCTAATATAGAGAAATGTGTACTATGGCTTTTCCCCACTTGTGAAGTTGTCTAAGATAAGATCTGATGCGGCATATGGAACTGGGTTGCTCTTAAGGTTTTACTTGAAATCAACTTTTTGCATTACTTTTAAGATGGATGAACTTATGTGCCTGTAATTAAATGAGGGTATTGATATAATAGGTATCACAGAACCTTAGTGGAACAATGATCCTCAATAGTACATGGTAATATTAGAGTTCAAAATATGTAGGAATGTCAGAAGAGGTCATACTGGTGGGGCAATGGCACTATCAAATATAGGAAAAATCTTAACTGAATAAAACTCAGAATCTCTATAGATTAGAAAGTCTATGCTTGGATTGGAGTTTAGCAATAGGAATACATTATTGACCACCTGACCAGTATGAGACCATGATTGTGAAATGCTTAAGCACTAGAAGAGACTACAAAACCAGAAAATCAACAGTAATGGGGGATTTCAGCTATTCCCATATTGACTGGGAACAGGACACCTCAGAATGGGATACAGAGAAAATTTCAAGGCATCATTAATGAGTTTCTCATATTCCTGGAACCTACAAAGGGGAGAGGCGATTCTTGATTTAGTCCCTACGTGTTGCAGAGAATTCAGTCCAAGAGCTGAATGTAGTTGAACTGCTTAGTAATAGCAACCATATATGTAATGTACCATTTTTGGGGATAATACCAAAGAAATCCACTCCAGTAGCATTTGACTTCAAAAAGAGGAACACTATAAAAATGAGGAAGCTAGTTAAATGGAATTTAAAAAGAACAGTGACCAGAGTGAAACGCCTGCAAGCTGCATAGAGCCTTTTTTTAAAAACAGTTTAAAAAAGGCTCAAATTATATGTATACCCCAAATAAAAGAAAAAGCAGGAAGGACCCAAAAGTGTCACGTTGGCTAACTAGAGTAAATGAGGCAGTTAGAGACAAACAGACATCTTTTAAAAATTAGAAGTCTGATCTAACCGAGGAGACTAGAAAGGGACATACACTCTGGCAAGTTGAATGGGAAAAGTAGATTCAGGCAGGCCAATAATAGAATTTTTGGAGCAGTGAGAAAAACTTACAAACAAATCAGAAGCCAGGAAACCTGTCAAACTGTTAGTGGGACCACTCGACAGCTGAGGTGCTAAAGGAACACTCAGGGAAGACAAGGTTATTGTAGCAAAGCTAAGTGGATTTTTGCATTATGCTTCACTGTGGAGCATGTGAGTGAGATCCCCCACATCTGAGCTGTTCTTTTTAGGTGACCTATCTGAGGAGCTGTACTAGCTTGAAGTGTCAGTAGATGAGGTTTAGGAACCAACTGATAAATTGTAACGAATCACTGTCACCAGATGGTATTCACCCAGGAGTTCTGAAGGAACTCAGATAAATACCACTTTATAGTTCTGCAATTTTGTACCTTATTGCTTAAATCAGGCTCTGTGGAGGATGACTGGAAGATAGCTAATGTAAAGTTAATTTTTAAAAAGACTCCAGAAACGATCCTGGAGTTTAGATTGGTAAAATGAACATTTTACTGTAGTTTCAACCTGTTTGCCTGCTACTGAAAAGTTATCGGGCAGTTATATGAACGCAGTATGTTGGGGAAGAATCAGCATGGTTTTTGTAAAGGGAAATCATGCCTCACTGATCTATTAGAGTTCTTTGAGGGGGGTCAACAAACTTGTGGAAAGAGCCATTCTAACAGATATAGTGTATTTAAACTTTTAGAAAGCCCCATCTCTCTCACTGAAGGCTATTGAGCAAGGTGGGCAGTGTGGGATAAGAGGGAAGGTGCTCTCATGGATTAGTAAGTGGTTCAAAGATAGGAAATAAATTGTCAGTTTTTACAGTGGAGAGGAATAAACAGCAAGATCCCGCAAGGATCAATACTGGGTCCAGTGCTGTTCAACATATTCATAAGTTATGCAGAAAAGGGGGTAAACAGTGAGATGGCGAAGTTTTGCAGACAACATGAAATTATTCAAGATAATTAAGTCCATAGATGACTTGAGTCAACCAGTTTTGAGATCCTTTTGTGACGTGGAACAAAACGGCAGATGAAATGCACTGTTGATAATCCCCCTATAAATACAAAGTGACAGAGTCCACATTAGCTGTTACCTCTCAAGAAACTGATCTTGGAGTCTTAGTGGATAGTTCTCTGAACGCATCTGCTCAATGTGCAGTAGTGGTCAAAAAGCTAACAATTTAGGAACTGTCTGAAATAGGGATGTAAAATTTTGATTTAATTAGCTAATCAAATAGCTGATAAGGGCACCTCCTTTGGGACACTTCCGCTGACCCTGGGCTCCATGCAGCACTGCTGCTTTGAAATGCCACATGCAGCCCAGGCCAACTGGGAGCTCCCATCTGGCCCCGGGCTGTACACGGCATTTCAAAGCAGCAGTGCCGCGTGGAGCCTGGGGTCTACCTAGGCTCCACACAGCACTACTGCTTTGACGAACCCCTTCCCCTTCCTCTCTCCCCCCCACCGCCCTTTGCGCAGAAGGCAGCAAGGGGAGGGGGGAGGTGCTACCAGATCACATCCCTAGTTTGAAAAGGTTGAAAAGGGATAGATAAGACAGAATCTCATGATGTCACTATAAATTCATGGTACATCTTGAATAATGGTTGTCCTATCTCAGAAACGAAATTAGAGTCAGAAAAAGTGCAGAGAAAAGCAACAAATATTTATTAAGGGTACGGAACAGGACTGTTCTTAGAAAAGAGACGACTAAGGGGTAATATAGTAGAGGTCTATAAAGTCATGAATGGTGTGGATAAAGTGAGTAAGAAAGTGTTATTTAACCCTTCACATAACACACAACCTAGTGGTCACCTGATGAAATTGATGGATAGCAGGTTAAAAACAAACATAAGGAAATACTTCACATGCCACGCAGTCAACCTGTGGAACTTGTTGCTGGAGATGATGTGAAGGCCAAAACTATAACTGGGTTAAAAAATTCAATAAGTTCATGGAGGATAGGTCCATCAGCATCTGTTAGCCAAGACAGTCAGGGAGGCAACTACATGTTCTGGATGTCCTGAAACCCCTGACTTCCAGAAGCTGGGACTGGTTGACATGGGATGGATAAGGAGTACTTTATTAATTCCTGCATTCACTCTGTTTGAATAAACTAACACCAGCCAGTGTCAGAAAACAAGATACTGGGTTAGATGGACCAATGATCTGATTCAATATGGCTGCTGTTATGTTATTCCCAAGTGCTCTTAGCAAAGTCTGTAGATGATTAGTGAGGTTTTATGACATGCCATTTTCTCCTTCCATCTCGTTTGTAGTGTGTGCTGTATTTATGGAGTTTAAAGATAAATCATCCCAAAACGCTGTTCCTGCTTCGAGGGAACCATGAGTGCAGGCACCTCACAGAATACTTCACCTTTAAACAGGAATGTAAGTATGTCCTATTCTCCTAAGTAAAAACAAAGATGCATTATTAGCATGACCTGACTAGGTCACGGCTCTCAGTCCTCTGAGGCCTGCCTTGGATGTCCCAACTGGCTCTAACAGATGTATCTTCATCTCGCTGCCCTCTTGTTTCCAATATTCTACCATGTTGCTTCAGTTGTTGTTCAGTATTTTGGGTTGAACCAATTCTGTGGAGAACTGAACATGAGCTGAAGTGGCATTTGGGTTCTTTGGTAAAGGGAATATGAGTGCAAGTAAAAGGAGCACCAGCATGTCTCCTGTGTTCCTTCCTGTCTTACTGACAAATGGTTGCATGCAAAGCCCCCTCCTTCCCTCAGCTTTGAGACCCAGCACCCTATAATTACTGCCAAGTGACTTTCAGTTCAGTTTGTGCAGCTGGAATTGATGATTACAGCTGGAAGAAAATAAAGGACTCTTCCTAGTGTTTGTACTGGGCGAATCATTACCTCTAAGATAATTTTATTTTAGTTAAATATAGTATTTATAACTTGCAAAAGTATGTGAAACTAGTGCTGGTGAAAGGTCAAGTGGACTGAAATCCTCTCTGCAGGCAATGAGCAGAGGCAGCAGTAGTATGCGCCTCAACCCTGACCTGAAGGAGTTCTTTCTAGAGGACCGGTGATAGTTCAGGGTTCTGTGGCCCAGACTGCTGTCAGAGGGGTAAAGTGTGGCAGGAATATACCTGTTTATTCAGAAATGAGCTGAAGGGCATTAGCTTGCTTCAAGCTGAACACTGAAGGGCTATCTGCTGGTGGTAGTTGTTGCTCCCTACCGAGCTGGGCTGGATTTGAGCCAGTGATATGGAGGCTAAAGGTTTCTATGTTCTGTTCCCAGTATCCTCTGTTGAAAAGCATCGTAAACAAAAATAGCCTCTTCTTGTCCTGTACATAAAGTTTAACTAAAACCTTTTAAAGCCACAGAAATAAGAGAGGGAGACAGTGAAAAATTCAGTAACTTTTTTTTCTTGTAGATGAGGGTTCATCTTACGGTAGCAGGAAGAGTTTTGTAAGACATGGTTGCGATAAACCATCACCATCTAAGATGGATGCAGACATGTGACCATGTGTACTTTGGCACGGTGGATCTCCTTTTGTGACTACACAGTATTGTTGGGTTTTACTATTCCAATAACACCTGATGGGGGACATTTCTGAATATATCTGGCAGCTTGTTGTGAAAGCTTGACTTCTGTTTTTAGGAAATCCATAACAGTTCTGTGACACTGAAAACCTTCCTAGTCCATCTGTTAAATCAGGCAGTATAAGACATCAGCTGCCAGAACATTAATGGTTAAATCAGCAGGTGTGTTCAAAACAGCAGCTCTTGTAGTATCCATACAAAGAAAAATAAAACATAGGTTTTTCTGATGCATTTTGATATGGAGATTGCTGAATATAACTTGTATTTGAGCCATTTGGCCAATTCTGCGCACTCTATAAAAGAACTTGTTTGCAATGGCCTCTTTTGGGTGAAGGAACCAGATCACTTTGTCTAATCCGATCAGGTCTCAGGAGAAAAAGGTTGGGTCAGGTCAGTACTCAATAGCAGCTCTTGAAATAGCACAAGTTGAGAGAATGGTTGTGAAAGTGCACTGAAGTGCTCTCTTTTCTCTGAGTCAGTCATGAACTAGTGCCTCGGCCTTCTAGAAGAACTGCTACTAGTTGATTATCCCTCTGATACAAGGCTGAGGCATAAAACTAAGAACCTGATGAGATGTGTAAGATTTGGTGTGTTAACCCCTGGCATCCTAGCCAAATACTATCTCATTAGCCTCCATGAGTGTCTCTTGAAGCACTCATATCCAGCTTGAAACTGCAATTCCTGATCTAAACTGTTGCATGGTATTGCTGTGCCAAGCTAAACAGCTGTTGCATTTCCGAGTGTATAGTCTGCATAGTAGTTGAAACTTGTAAGATTCTTTGGGGTCCTTTGAGATGAAAGTTAAAAATCACAAATATCTTACACTGATATTGTATTAGTAAACTAAGTTCTTTCCAGCTTTGGCAAATGCTCAGGCACCTCTTCCAGGAAGTTCTTGGTATGGAGGTTAATATGCACTAAGGTAAATACATTTCTGAGCTTGAAAGGAGAAGATGAAAATAAAAGTTCCTAGTTGGAACCACCTGAGAAGCTTTATGACTTCCATGTCGTTAAGTATTTTTTTTTTTAAACAGGTACATTAATATGGTAGAGGAGAGTTTTGCTTACAGTGTCATAGCACCAGTGGTCTCCAACCTTTTTAACCACAAGATCGCTTTTTTAATTTAAGTGCAAGCCAAGATTTACCTCAAATATACACACCCTTACCCTGCCTCCTTCCCACCCCTTCTCCAAGGCCCCATCCCTGGTCACTCCATCCTCCCTTTCTTGTCCATCCTCACTCACTCTCATCAGTCTGGGGCAGAGGGTTAGGGTGCAGGCTCTGATCTGGGGTTAAGGGATCTGGAGTGTGAGAGGGGCTCTGAGCTGCTCTTGGGGCAGGCAGTTGGGATGTAGGAGAGGGTTCTAGGTGCAGGCTCTGGGATGACATTTGGATGCAGAGGTGCTTGGGGCTAGGGCAGAGGTTTGTGGTGCAGGAGGGGGTTCACGACTGGGGTGGAAGTTTGGGATGTGGGCTCCAGCTGGGCACTGCTTACCTCAGGTGGGTCTTGGTTGGTGGTGCAGTGGGGCTAAGGCCCTGCCCTGATCCTGGACCACTCCCTAAAGCAGCCAGCAAACTCCATCCCAAGTCCTGTTGTACCCCCTCTCTGCTCTGTGGAGAGAGGATATGGAGTGGGAGAGGGGGCACCTTGACATCAGCACCTTTTCTCTCCCTCCCCTGCCCAGCCCAGAAAGCAGGAGGCTCCCCAGGGAGAGGGGTAGCTCCAAGGCAAAGCGCAGGGGATGGGCAGCAGTAGGGGGAGGGGCAGCTGAAGTGCCAGCACTTGACAGCCTCTTGGTCAAGCCAGTCAGGATCACCTGTCACAGGCTCGAAGATCTATAGTAGATCCTGATCTACTGGTAGGTGACCATTGCTGTAGACTGTTTCTATTTCACCTTCTATAATAGCTTCCTGGAATCTTTCTGACAATGCTCCTATGCAGTAAGGCCTTTGCTGCTAGTTCCTATAGCATGTTAGTCCGGATGCATGAATGGTCTGGAACCTCTTCATTCAACTTGATCAACACACATTGGGTAAAAGATAAACACATTCTCTCTCTCCCGCTTGCTCTCCCCGTTAGGTCGAATCAAATATTCGGAGCGAGTGTATGATGCATGTATGGATACATTTGATTGTCTTCCTCTTGCTGCCCTTCTAAATCAACAGTTCCTGTGTGTCCATGGAGGACTGTCTCCAGAAATCACATGTCTAGATGACATTAGGAAAGTAAGTAGTCTTGCTTGTCACTCACACTGATGTTTTTATTGAATACTTGTGTTACTGGGTTTCATTTTTAGTAGCATACTCACACAACCCATCTCTGATAGACATGAGAGCCATTGCTTTATTAGGAATTTTGGAGTGTTCAAGTTTGGTCTTTCCTTGATCCATTTACCAAAAGGGGGTTGATAGCAATTTAAGTATTAGTAAGTAGTCTTGCTTGTCACTCACACTGATGTTTTTATTGAATACTTGTGTTACTGGGTTTCATTTTTAGTAGCATACTCACACAACCCATCTCTGATAGACATGAGAGCCATTGCTTTATTAGGAATTTTGGAGTGTTCAAGTTTGGTCTTTCCTTGATCCATTTACCAAAAGGGGGTTGATAGCAATTTAAGTATTGG